CGTCACCGTATGCCCCCCGCCCACGAAGGCCAGGCGCCGCGGCGGGAGCCGGCTGCGGTCGTCGCAGCAGCACTGCCCGCACCTCGACGGGTGAAAGCCACGCCACCCTGCGCAGGCACTGCGCGAGGTCCCCGTCCCCGACCGCATCCTCCAGGCGGTGGTCATGCATAGACTCCCGCCTCGGAGGGAGCCAACTGTCCGCAGGCGCGCCGCCAGGCCCACGGGCGGCGCACGGGCGGCCCACGGGAACCCCCAGCAAGCCCTCGAGGTGGAGCCAGCTTCGCACTGCGCAACCACCCAGGGATTGCAAGATCTAGGCAAGGGCTCCCAACATCGCGCTTCGCGCTGCGCGCAGCGCGAAGTGCGAAAAGCTTCGCGCTCTCGCGCCGCCTCCCAGGGGAGAAGAGGAGGATGAAGAATCGGAGCCGAACCGCGAAGCGCGAATAACCGGCGCGCGGTCGCCAAATCCATGGATCGGGGGAGGTGCCCTCCCCAAAACGCAGCCGGTGCCGCCTCGTTTGGCGGCGGAAATCCGCGATTCCCCATGGAAACGGGACCCGTCGCTCATCCACGCCCACTTGATCCATGTTTGCGATCGCCTGATATGAGTCAGTGGCGAGAAGCTCACAACCCGCAGCCCTCCAGGAATAGCTAGATTTAGCTTGCATCGGCGAAACAACGCCACTTCGCTGGACACCCTCACCTCGAAAATGGCGACAATGCTGCAACTCGCATCCCCCTTGGGATGGCGAGGTGTAGTCTGACTGCACGTGAACGTCACGCCGCTGGACCCTCCAGCAGCCCTCAAAAGTGATGACAGTTTCGCACTTCGCAGCCCCTCAAGGATGGCGCGGTCGACCCTGACTCTGCGGTAAGACGTCACTCCGCTGGACCCGCCAGCAGCCCTCAAAAATGATGACAGTTTCAACAGTTTCGCACTTCGCAGCTGCCCAGGGGTTACGAGGCCTAATCTCAGCCTGTCTGGCAAGCGCGTCACTCCGCCGAACCCCCAGCAGCCATGGAGAGTGGCAACAGTTTCGCAGTTCGCAGCCCCCCCCAGGGATGGCGAGGTAGGATGCATGCTGGCATGCAGGCAGGAGACAGGTAAAAGGAGAAACAGGTCGAAGACATGTAGGAGGCAGGAAAGCGAAGTAAGAGGCAAGAACAGAGAGGAGGAGGGAGGCGGGAGGAAGGTTGGAGACCGCAGTGTCCTACGTATCCATAACGAGAGCCCAAGGCAGGAGTGTTGAGAACAAAACAGTGACATCTTCGGTGAGGCGACGCGAGACGAGGTGGGCCAGCGCAATGGCCAGAGGGCCTCCACCTCACGCTAGGAGGGGGGGCCCACAAGCCTTCTGCCCCTCGTCGTCCATCTCATAGCGTGGGATGGGGTCGAATTGCTTCAGGAGCTTGACCGCGCGGTTCCGCTCCTGACGGAAAGGGGAGGAGACTGGTCGAGGGCGAGGGGGGGGGGGGAAGAGAGAGGGAGGGAGCTGGGTCTGACGATGACGAGGACGAGGACGCTGACAGCGACAAAGTCGATGACAGCAACGATGACGATGACCAGGACGATGACGATGACCTCGACGACGATGTCGACGTCGATAACGGTGACGATGTCATCGTCATCATCATCTTCATCGTCATCACCGGAGGAACGAATAGAGGGAGGAAGGGAGCTGGGCCTGATGATGACGATGACGAGGACGATGACGATGTCGCTGACATTGACGATGTCGTCGTCATGGTCATCACTGGAGGCAAGAACAGGAGGAGGGAGGGAGACGACGGGAGCCGGGGGGGCAGAGAGGCCACTGCGGAAGGAACGCGGCACCGGGACCTGGGAGACGGTTCAAGAGATCGGGCCCGCAACCTGGCGGCACAACTCGAAAAGAGACCAGAATCGGGAGGTGGGACTCGACATCGGAATCGGGCATTGCAGGTAAATGCAATCCACGGCCGAACACAACCAGAACGCATCCCGCGGCTTGACCTGACGCACAAAGACCCTGGAACCTCGCTGGGTCCAAGGTGGTGGCGGCCACGATCATTTCACAATGGGTTCCTGGCCCTGCTCCTACTTACGGCTTGGACGATCGCAGCTTCCTGGTAGCGTAGCTCGTCCGATGTCGGCTGATTCCAGGCTGCTGGCAGCATTCAACCCCGAACTCTCGGGCCGATGTCGTCACCGCGTCAGTGCGGCGCAGGCCTGCCTCAAACTTCTGCTCCCGACTGCACTCCGTCTCCATCCAAAGAGTGGGGAATGCCGAAAGTGCAAGAATGACTTTTACACGTTTCGCTTGAAGGATGCGGAGGAGGGAGTGGGGAGGGCGAGGGACCCGCGTCTATAGGAGGCGAAGAGGCGGACGAGACGCGCCGGGGGAGGACGAGGGAACACGAGGAGAAGCGAGAGACTGAGCAGAAAGAGGGGAGATGTGGTGTGGTTACGGATACGCACTCAGCATGCGGTCTCTGCACCAGGTCAATGAAAGGCTCACTCGACCGCCGCGCGTCATCGAGAAACCTATCCCTCGAGCGTTGTCAAACTTAGTGGCACCACCCCCCGCGACTTGCCATCCAGGAAGAGGGATGAGGCACAAGGATGACCACGTGGCATGTCGGGCTGAACAGGATGAGAAGGACGAGGGACGAGCACACGACCCGGGAAAGCGTGATCCCCCCCGCGCCTTGCTGGTCTTGGCGCTCTTGAGCACGTCCGTCAGCTCCTGCTTGGTCAGCGACGTGCTCTTGACCATGGTCACAGATGGCACCGATCGGGCCGGGCGAAAGGGGGGGATAGCAAAGGGGGGGGGTTGAGAATCAGCTCACGTAGCTGATTTTCCCGGCGCCTCCCGGCGCCAGGAGGCGCCCATGTATCGAGGAATGGGCCCGGCGGCGGGGCCGAGACCAGCTGCATGCAGCAGATTTCGTACCCCCCTCTTTCCCTATCCCCCCCTTTCGTTCGGCCCGAACCGAGGGGGTGCTGAACGACCAACCACCCCTCCCTTGAACCAGAGTGGCCCAGGAAGCAGGAGGCGGAGCGCAGCGGCTGGGCCCGCACCCTCCCTTCGTCCCCCTTCCCCCCTCCCTCCCCTCCCCTCCTTCCCCTCTTTCCCCTCCTTCCCCTCCTTCCCCTCCTTCCCCTCCTTCTCCTCCTTCCCCCTCCCCTCCTTCCCCTCCTTCCCCCCTCCTTCCCCTCCTTCCCCTCCTTCTCCTCCTTCCCCCTCCCCTCCTTCCCCTCCTTCCCCCCCCCTCCCCTCCTTCCCCTCCTTCCCCTCCTTCCCCACGGCTGTCAGGGCGGCCGTGCGAAAGCGCCGTACCGCGTGAATATGAGGCTTGCCTTTGCCATAGTGCGATGTGGTTGCTAGGTGCCCCCTGGCGGCTCAGACATGCTCGTCGTGGTGCGCGCGTGTGTGTGTGTGTGTGTGTGTGTGTGTGCGTGTGTGCGTGTGTGTTTGTGTGTTTGTGTGTGTGTGTGCGTGTGTGTGTGTGTGTGTGCGTGTGTGCGTGTGTGCGTGTGTGTGTGTGTGTGCGTGTGCGTGTGCGTGTGCGCGTGCGCGTGTGTGTGTGTGTGTGTGTGTGTGGTGTGTGTGTGTGTGTGTGTGTGTGGTGTGCGTGCGTGCGCGTGCGTGCGTGCGTGCGTGCGTGCGTGCGTGCGTGTGTGTGTGTGTGTGTGTGTGTGCGTGCGTGTGTGTGTGTGTGTGTGTGTGTCTGTGTGTGTCTGCGTGTCTCTGTGTTGGCTGTGTGTGCGTGTCTGTGTGTGTCTCTGTGTGCGTGTCTGTGTGTGTGTCTGTGTGTGTCTGTTTGTGTATGCCTGTGTGAATATGAGTGTGCCTGTGTGTGCCTGTGTGTGTGTCTGTGTGTGTGTGTGCGCGAGCGCGCGAGGGTAGGCACACAAGGGCATGAGAGGGCGATTCGAGGAGGTGGTCGAAGGATGCGGTGCGAGAACAAGAGAGAGAGAGAGAAGTGTATGCATGCATATCGAGATATATCTGCATATGCAGTTATATAAATATATGTATATATGCACATCTATGCATACGTCTACATATACTAGAAACCACCGCGCGCGCTTCGCGCGCGCTCAGGTTCTCCAGACTCCCAGCTCGCAGTGAGATGTCGAGGGTTCGGCGACGGCTGTCGCTAGTGTGAAAGCCGTTCCCTGAGCACGGAGGTCTCCCGGAGGTCGGCGTGGAGGACAAGGGAAGCGGTCTGGAGGTCGAGGAAGGGGGAGAACCGTCCAGGAGCATCGCGGCGACGAAGCAGAAGAAGCAGGGCAGAACGCCAGGGAGGGACCAGAGCAGAAGGAGAGGCGAAACCTCTGAAGACGAACAAGGAAAAACAAAACGAAGACGAGGGCAGAACGCCAGGGAGGGACTGGATCAGGAGGAGAGGCGAAGCCTCCGAAGACGAACAAGGAAACAACAAGGCACAGAGAGGAGGGGCCACGGTGCCCTTTTGTTCACGCGTGCACCTCCTTGATCGCCCGCGGCCCACCCTGCCACCGTGTCTGGGATGCTGGGCAGGGACCTCGTCGATGCCTGCTTGGGCAATTTCTTGGAGGCAAGTTGAAGACCCTGGGGGCCGTTTTGGGGGCCTCGTGTGGACCTTTCAGGGGCCTTTCGAGAGTCCTCCTTCTTGGGGGCCTGCGGGCGGTCTCCTGGGTCATCCCAGGCTCGAATCATCGACATGTGAGGACAGAAGAGGGGCCACCGTGCCCCTCGTCCACTTGTGCTCCTCCTGGTGGCTGTCTGCCCATCCTGACACCGTGCCTGGGTTGTTGGTGTGAGACCTCTTGAATGCCTGTTCGGGTCTCTGGGGGAGCCCCTGGGAAGCCTCGTGGATGCAGTTTTGACGCCTCTTGGGGCCTCTCTTGAGGCCCTTGGGGGCATTTCGGGTCTTCTTGGGAGTTTGGGGCCTGCTGGCGGTCTTCGGGGTCCTCGTGGGGCGAAGGCCTCAAAACGTGGGTCCGAATTCCCCCCCATCCCGAGGCCCCTCTTGGTGCCCACTTGGGCGGCTCTAGGTGCCGTCTTGGGGCGAGGGGGACTTGCTGTATATCAAATGTCCCTGAGTGTGTGACGGCCCGGGGGGCCCGCGGCAAGGTTTCCACTTGCCGTCGCTCGGACGTCCATTTCCCGTGCATGTTTCGGTTTCGTGCGTGTTTTTGTTCGCTCGATGGTCCAAGATGTTCATCTAGGGTCCTCGCCGAGAAAAAAAACATGTCCGAGCGATGCCAGGTCCAGTATATGAGAGAAACATGGTTTGCGTTGCTTGCGTCGGTCCTTAACCTCTGCCTTCACTGCCTTTTCTCGCGCCTTGATCTCGTCCGTCTTGGCGTTGGGCTCGTCTGGCACCTGTTTGTGCTCAACGGAGTGTTCCGACACCTCCTCCAACTTCTGCGACGCTCTGGCCAGTCGATGCCCAACGTCGGTGTGCTTGATGGTGCCTGGATGCTTGCTCTCATTATGAGGCCGTGCTGTCTTGAGTTTACCTTTGGGGAACGTTCAGGCTTCTGACATCTCATCGCCCTTGCACGCATTGATTGCCCCTCGAACTCATTCGCTTTGGCCTGGAGAGGATCTTCACTGTCACCACCGCTGCACTGTCCATCGCTTCCACATGCCACTGGTTGTGTCTGCTCCTTACCTGGGCCCTTGGGCTTGGGGCCGCCACCATTGATGAGTTGATCCAGTTGATGTCGCCATTCGGTCATCTGTGTCTCCAGCTTGGCCTGTCGACGGGAGCCTGCAGCAGGGGGCCGTTGAGCACTCCCGTTGCCACCGGCAGCCCAGTCACCACTACCCGCTCCGCCGTCCTTGCGCGCCTTGGTCCGTTGAACGACATATGCTGGCGCTTTGGCGCCACCGCGGCATTGTAGCATGCACGCCCAGGTGGACGTGAGCCCACAGGCTTGGCAAACCCAGGGCGGGTCTTGGGCCCACGGATCACATCCACGCCAACCATGCAAGCTATTCCTGCACTCTGGTGCAGCACAGCGCTCGCGAAGGAGAGGACCTGCCAGTCTGGGAGTTCAGGCAGGGATCGATCAGCCGCCTGGGGCCTGACGGCGGGGTCAACAGAGCCTGCCACTTGGCTGCGTCCAAGCGCGAGCCGTCAGGGCCCCCAGCTCGTACTTACTTGACACCAAAAATGGCGGCGGGCCATTTGGAGACTCGCCACACGACGATAGCAAGATGTATGGCGACCCCAATGCCCGACTTCGTGGGACTCTCGATGGGCCAGATACTTTGGGGCCCTGCTCGGCAATGTGCGCTGGGGGGCGACCATCCTCGATAGAGGTGCGTCCAGCAATTTAGCCTCTGAGTATCGTTTAACCGATCCCCATCCCCCATCCCCAGCGGCGTGGCCTGGGCCCCACTGGCCGATTTACCCCCCTAGATGGGGATATAGGCCGTACCCTTCGAGCTTCGAGGGGTGTATCCCCAACTGGGGGGGGTAATTTGGTGGGGCTCTCGAAGGGGATATGGGGATGGGGATGGGGACCGGTTGAACGATACCGAGCCTCCTGGAGCTGCGTCCTCGAGGCTCCCTTCTGTTTCTCCACGACCAGCTGCTTGGGGGGGAGCTCAGTGGACTGGGGGGCGAAACGTCGCCTGCGAGACGCGGCCCCCGAGAGGCCCGGAATCCCTTCCGGGAGGCGGCCTCTGATCCTGCGGCGATGCTGCCGATCCAGGGGCCTGGCGCGTGCCCTCCAGAGGCCGAAAGACGACACTCTCCGTCCGTCGTGGTTTTTTGCCACGGCGCGAGAACGGCAGGGGACGGCGACGGCGACGCCTACTTTCAAAAATCGTCAAAAGTAGTCTGGGGACGATTGTTTGAGCGTTCTGGTGGTATGTTTGATCATGTTTTGAGTGCTCTCATTGTTTCCTTCAAAGTCCGCCTGCAGGTGGACATGCCCGACCTAAACCCACTCTTGCGTGACGCGGAGACGACGCTCGCAAATCGGCCCCCTGGCCCCGTCCGTGGACGCGTCCTGGCCGGGATCCCGAGGTCTCGAGGGAAAGCCGGCCGTGGCGACGAGATGCCTCCCAGAGGCGCACAGAGCACCTCGATACGGTGGTGATCGAGTGAGTGACGACGACGACGATGTCAGATCAGAGGCGACGATAGGGGCGAATAGCCCCGGGGAGAGCAATACATATATCCAGAGAGCGCCGATGATCTATGCCTTCGACAAGGCGCCCGGGCGACTACGTGTAATACCCGCCCCTGGGCTATTCGCCCATTTTGTCGCCGCCGATCAGAGCGAGGGGGCCGAACAACCGCTTCATGTCCCTGGGTGCGCGGCATACGTGGCGTTCCGACTGGCGGGTTCTGTTTGTTGCGTTGTTATTGCGCTGTCGTCGCCCCCGCCCGCAACCCGCCCCGCGACCCACACGCGACCCACCCCGCGACACACCCCGCGCCCGGCCCCCGCGCCTTTATTAATCCGTATCTACGTATGTAAGTCGGGCCTGTCCCCCTACAAGGGAGATTTTTGACAGAAAAAAATACCCCAAACATGCCCCAAGAAGGTCAAACAATACTCAAAAAATAGTCCCCCGACTATGTTTAGGCTATTTTTTGATTATTGTGGGGGTATTTTTTATTTTTCGTCGAAAATCCCCCCTGTAGGGGGACAGGCCCGACTAAATGCTACGTATGTTTTACTCCCCGCCGCCATCGTCCCAGGCATGCCCGCGTCGTCAACAGAGACTGCGACGGGAGGCTCCCGGCTGGCTTCGGATCCGAGGGCTTCCGCCTGGACCCGAGGACGCCAGAGACGTCGGAGGAAACACTGGCTCTCGGGAGAAGGTCGGAATTTCTGGGGGCCCAGCATTGAACAAAAACCATCGTATCGCATCACTGTGGTTAAGTCGGGCCTGTCCCCGAACAGGGGGATGTTCGACGGAAAATAAAAAATACCCAAAACATAGTCAAACAATAATCAAAAAATCTGGGAACTATTTTTTTTAGTATGGTTTGTCCTCTTTGGGGCATGTTTGGGGTATGTTTCATTTTTCGTCGAAAATCCCCCTGTAGGGGGACAGGCCCGACATAACACTGGTTCTCGGGAAAAGGTCGAAATTTCTGGGGGGCCCGCATTGAACAAAAACCATCGTACCGCATCACTGGGGTGCTGCCGTGACGGTCCTGGATGGGCCAAACGATACTCAGAAACGCCGCTGATTTTGCTCCCACCCGCAGCGCGCTGGCCCGTCCCTGGGTGAGCCTTCATGGGAGCCACATCCGACAAAAATGCGGACGACATCTCCAAAACTGCAAGGAATTTTAGGACTCCTGAGGCTCCTATGACAAACCACGCAGATGTCAAAACAGCACTCATATCAACTCAACTTCCGGAGATCCGCGCTGATTTCTTGCGGAGTTCTTGGATCCGCGCTGGATCCCCCTCCCCAGCGCGCGGAGCGCGCCAAGAGCGGCGCCAGAGGCGCCGCCAGGGGAGCCCAGCGCCGATCTGCGAAATCCGCGCGGACCGTGAAACACTTATGCGAATGCCGTTTCTTTACAATGGAGGTCAATCTGCAAGAAACCGGCCCTGAGACCCCAGGACGTGTATTGATTCTTGGCGAGGACGGCACGCTTCCACAGCAAAATCATCGAAACCCAAGCAACCCGAGGCACCCTGGAGGCACGCAGGGTGTTTCTTGGCACAGGTCTCCGCTGTATGCCGTTTTTCCTTCCTCGATCCGCAGCGCGCAGCTTTCCCGAAGCGCGCCAGGGTCGGCGCCAGAGGCGCCGCCAGGGGAACCCAGCGCCGACCGTCGAACATGTGTGTGAATGCCGTTTTGTTTATGCCGTTCTTCCTCCTCGAGCCGCAGCGTGTTGGACCGTCACCGGAAGCTCACTAGCGCCCACCACCGTCGAACATCTGCGCGAATGCCGTTGTGTGTATGCCGTCTTTTGCCTTCCTCGAGCCGCAGCGCGCTGGCCCGTCACGGGAAGCCCACCAGCGCCCACCACCGTCGAACGTCTGTACGAATGCCGTTTTGTTTATGCCGTTTTTCTTCCTCGAGCCGCAGCGCGCTGGACCGTCACCGGAAGCTCACCAGCGCCCACCACCGTCGAACATCTGTGCGAGTGCCGTTTTGTTCATGCCGTTTTTTCTTCCTCGAGCCGCAGCGCGCTGGCCCGTCACAGAAAGCTCACCAGCGCCCACCGCGGCCGGCGCCTGCGCGCAGCGGCCGGCCGCCGCCAGGCGGGGCAGCGGCAGGCTAGGGGGGGGCAGACCGCCTCGCAGCGCGGGCGGACGCCGCGGCCGCCGCGATCGTCGTCGTCGCCGTCGCCGCTGCCGCCGTCGCCGCAACCGTCGCCGCTGTTACCGTCGCCGCTGACGCGGCTGCCGTCGCCGTTGTAGCCGTCGCCGCCACCATCGCTGTCGACGCCGTCGCCGCTGGCGCCGCAGCCGTCCCCGTCGCCACTGCAAGCGGCCCGGGGGGACACCAATAAATCTAAACAAACCAGAGGATTCCCCCTGAAAATAACACCCGAAAGATAACTCGCCGGCCAAACGGGCCAGAAGCGTGCTAAGATCTCCGGTAACTGGATAACAATAACTCTATACTTCGCGCGCTCGGAGCGGCCTCTGGGGGTCTCCGGCCAGAAAGTACCCCGGCAAGGTCCCGGGACACTCCCGGCAAACTCAGGTCAGAGATTGTTTTCCTCCTGGGTGCGGCCTTCCACGCTCCCCGGAGCGCGCCAAGAGGGCCCCAACAGGCTTCCAAGACGGTCCAAGAGGGTTCCGAATCACCGAACGATCGTCCCAAGACGCCCAACACGGCCTCAAGACGGCCCAAGAAGCTTCCAAGACGTCCCAAGAGAGCCCCGACCCTTTCCAAGAGAGCCCCAAGAGGCCAAAATCATTGATTTCCACTTGTTCTTTTCAAGGTTTTTGGCTTCCTCGCCTTTTCGCCTTTCCGACGCTCCAAGACGGCCCAAGAAGCCTCCAAGACCACCCCAAGACGGCCCAAGAGGCATCCAAGAGAGCCCCAAGACCGCCCAAAAGGGCCCCACGACAGCCCAAGAGGCGCCCAAGACGGTCCAAAAGGACCCCAAGAGGGACCCAAGAGGGACCCAACATGGAGACCACGAACCGAGAATCCAAGCCTTCCGCTCCAAGAGGCCTCCTGGAGGCTCCAAGAAGCCCCCAAGAGGTCCCAAAAGGCGACAAGGGGCCCGAAAGAGACCCCAAGAGGCTCGACAACAACTCCCGAGAGTCTCCAAGAAGCCCTCGAGCGGCATCCAACGAGATCCCAATGAACGTCCACGAAGCCTCAGAGCGCCCAAACCATTGATTTCCATTGGGTTTTCCAAAATGTTTGGCTTCCTCGCCTTTTCGCCTTTCCGACGCTCCAAGACGGCCCAAGAAGCTTCCAAGACCACCCCAAGACGGCCCAACAGGCATCCAAGAGAGCCCCAAGACCGCCCAAAAGGGCCCCACGACAGCCCAAGAGGCGCCCAAGACGGTCCAAAAGGACCCCAAGAGGGACCCAAGAGGGACCCAACATGGAGACCACGAACCGAGAATCCAAGCCTTCCGCTCCAAGAGGCCTCCTGGAGGCTCCAAGAAGCCCCCAAGAGGCCCCAAAAGGCGACAAGGGGTCCGAAAGAGACCCCAAGAGGCTCGACAACAACTCCCGAGAGTCTCCAAGAAGCCCTCGAGCGGCATCCAACGAGATCCCAATGAACGTCCACGAAGCCTCAGAGCGCCCAAACCATTGATTTCCATTGGGTTTTCCAAAATGTTTGGCTTCCTCGCCTTTTCGCCTTTCCGACGCTCCAAGACGGCCCAAGAAGCTTCCAAGACCACCCCAAGACGGCCCAAGATGCCTCCAAGAGAGGCCCACGACCGCCCAAGAGAGCCCCACGACAGCCCAAGAGGCGCCCAAGGCGGTCCAAAGGACCCCAAGAAGGCTCCAAGAGAGGCCCAAGATGGAGACCACGAACCGAAAATCCGAGCCTTCCGCTCCAAGAGGCCTCCTGGACGCCCCAAGAGGCTCCTCAGAGGCCCAAACAAGCGACAAGGGGCCCGAAGAATGCAAAAAGGAGACTGCAGAATGTTGTGTTTTTCCCTGCGATCGTATTCACGAGCCGCCACCTTCCGAAACAGAAGGTTCAGTCGGGAAAAGAATGGTTCCTGCCTGCGAAATCACCCAAAGCCAGCCATCCATAAACAAAAAACGACCCAGCAACACTCCATTGACAACGATCACACGGGCACTCGACAGCCGTGCACCAATACGGGCCGGCGGAATGAGCGAAGCGATAAAATAATGTTCGAGGTTCTGATTGGAAATCATTGTTTCCCAGCCCTCCGTGCTTGGGTATTCGTTTTCATTAGAGCACCGCGGTCGCGTCTCCTTTTCCCGCCTCCTCCCGCCTCCTGCCTTCTCTAAGCCGTCGCTGGGGAGCTGCGATCTGCGGCACTGGCGCCACTTTCGAGGGATGCTGGTGGGTCCAGCGGAGTGAGGCACCGCGCAGACCTGAGCGGGACCTCGCCGTCCTTGGGGGGCTGTGATATGCGAAACCGTCGACACTTTCGAGGGCTGTTTGTGGGTCCAGCGGAGTGAGGCACCGCGCAGATCTGAGCGGGACCTCGCCGTCTCTGGGGGGCTGCGATCTGCGAAATTGTCGCCACTTTCGAGGGCTGCTGGTGAATCCAGCGGGGTGAGAAAGGCACCGCGCAGATCTGAGCGGGCCCTCGCCGTTCCTGGGAGGCTGCCATCTGCGGAACTGGCGCCACTTTCGAGGGATGCTGGTGGGTCCAGCGGAGTGAGGCACCGCGCAGATCTGAGCTGGACCTCGCCCTCCTTGGGAGGCTGCGATCTACGAAACTGGCGCCACTTTCGAGGGCTGCTGGTGGGCCCAGCGGAGTGAGGCACCGCGCAGACCTGAGCGGGACCTCGCCGTCGGCGAGGTCCCTGGGGGGCTGCGATCTGCGAGACTGTAGCAAATTTCGAGGGCTGTTTGTGGGTCCAGCGGAGTGAGGCACCGCGCAGATCTGAGCGGGACCTCGCCGTCTCTGGGGGGCTGCGATCTGCGAAATTGTCGCCACTTTCGAGGGTTGCTGGTGGGTCCAGCGGAGTGAGGTACCGCGCAGATCTGAACAGGCCCTCGCCATCCCTTGGGGGCTGCGATCTGCGAAACCGGCGCCACTTTCGAGGGCTGCTGGTGGGTTCGGCGGAGTGAGGCACCGCGCAGATCTGAGCGGGACCCTGCTGGTGGGTCCAGCGGAATGAGGCACCGCGCAAATCTGAGCGGGACCTCGCCGTCCCTTGGGGGCTGCGATCTGCGAAACTGGCGCCACTTTCGAGGGTTGCTGGTGGGTCCGGCGGAATGAGGCACCATGCAAATCTGAGCTGGACCTTGCCGTTGCTGGGGGGCTGCATTCTGCGAAACTGGCGCCACTTTCGAGGGATGCTGGTGGGTCCAGCGGAGTGTAGCAACATGCAGATCTGGCCGGGACCTCGCCGTCTTTG